AAGACAAAAATTTACGACAACATCGCACTGTCTAACGCACGCAAATAACATAAATGCTGAACTGTGGTTTTATGCAAGAACAATGGTTATGGTGTGATGTTACATTATCACGTAGACGGTGAAAATCTTTTATAAAATTATGGGTAAGGTCGGAAGGAAAGGAAGGAAAGAATCGTGAAAGAAGTTTTGAGCCATTCGAAAGTCGGTCTTCTTTACGCTTTCACGATCGGGCCATTTTTGCGCCTTTATTTTCATGGTTCTTGGTTCTTTCCAAGCACTGAAAGTTCTTAAACAACCGTGAATAAAGCTGTCTGTTTAAGACAGCGGTTTGGAAGACTGAGTATGCAATCGTTCTTGAAGATGATTAACATCTGCGCTGAAACGACTGAACCATAAACTACACTTTTTCGATGCGCCCAAACCGTTTTTGCATACCGTAACCCCGTCTTAGCAAAAAGCAAATTAAGTGTTACTAATTCGTTGCAATTTGCATTGTTGAACAAAAGAAGGGAAAACTTGTAACCGCTGGCATCGCCCTCTCATTTACACAATGATGATCAGGGGGCGTTTTTCGGCGAAGTTCTTTTCATGACGTACATGGTGCAGAGTTTATCTCCATTTCTGTCACCAGCCAGGAGCGACTTATTTTTAAATCGAAACTACAGATAGGTTGCAAGTACCGTTGTAATCCCCTGTCTGCTTCCCAAAAAGTGGTACTCATTAATCAACCTTGGAAGAAGGAAAGGAGAGTGACTGGACCGGGGATCTAACCCGTAAACAAGCCGTATTTAACTGAATGTTGTGGCAAACTACTCGCAGATTTGGCACAATTTTTTAAAAGAAATTTCAAATTGAAAGACAAAAATAGCTGTAAAGCAAACATAACAACGATATTATAAACTATTTAAAAACCTTTCAGGTAGTTCGCGTCCTGGACGACGGGCTGACTACCGTGTGAAAACGGTTCTTCGGCTTCAAACGCAGATTCAGCTTGCGAGTGTTGGTCTTCCTTAGGTTCCTCATTTCCTTCACCTTCTAAATCAGCAATATTTTTAAACATTGTTGTCAATTCTGCAACGAAAAACGTTCACTACATGCTTAATAATGTAACCGACAGATCAATTTTTTTAGAGTAATAATTCGAATGTTCGGTTTATATTAACTGTTTATCCTAATCACGGTTAGTGCTGTTTCGATGAAACGGTGACAGTGAAACAAAGACGTCAACGTCGATTTTCTGGTTGTGTCGGTGATCATTGTTTCTACAGTTCCAATAATCATTATTTGTTCATAATTTTCTCAAATTCTGAACTGAATCTCGAACTGTTTCTGTTAATTTATGGGAAGTGACAGCTGCGATGGTTTGGACACGCATTCTGAATACCTCAAGAAGAAAGACTACGCCAATACTACTTGCCCAGCCGACAGGCAGAAGGCCCAGTGGACGGCCAAGATTAGCTTAGTGCATATACATGGAAGAAGGTTACTCTAGACTTCCGCTGTCTTCTGCTACTGTTTCGACTCTGGCAAAGAAACAGGAACGCTGGAAGCACTGTCTGACGGGTCTGTTCCATTAAGCGAAAGGATAAAAGGCCATCGAAACTGACTGACAGTTTAGAACAATTAATACTTTATGAAAAAGTGCGGGTTAAAAAACTTAATACGGATTCTCATAATTTAATACTAATCATAATGAAGCCAATTAAGCAGCCATTCCCCTGAGAAATGTACTGAGATAAATAAACTAATCTGATAGTAAATTGTAAATCACTCTGTAAAGCTGAATAACGACAGTTCCTGCGAACTTAGCTATGGGCCACTCGACGTTTCGCCAAGTTGCGGATATGCAGGTTTCTCTACGATGTCTCTCTATGAAAACGAATGAAGCACGATCCTAAGCGTAGGAGAATATTCATGTAATAAATTCGATATACGGTGTCATAGCGATTACGGATCGGGAAAGCAAGATGGCCTCAAAGATATGAAAGTCAGCCTGACGAATCAGCAATTATGGATATGAGGGGTTGGATACTACAGTTCTGCGTGGTTGGAGACGATTTCTGAAAGTTCTGAAACCTCTTCACCAACTAAATCGTTAAAAAAACAGTCTCTAAACGACTAGTCAGTGATACGGTCAGGAAGGCTACCGATGTCTTGAGGTATGGTCGAGGAAACTCTGAGATGCCCACTAGAAGAAATCGTTCAAAGACGCTAAACGTCACTTCGGTCCGAAGATAGCAACGGATAAAAGGCGGACAAAATCTGAAAGTTTTATGATACCGTCAGAGCTATGATTAACAACCTTATGCTGCTATATAACTTGAACAAAAACCTTGTTGAGAAAGCATACTCCGTAGGTTTTCTAAATGGATCCAATTCGTTTTTACCCACCTGACAGCTGATTGTCCAATGCAATAGCCAGTGGAAGGTGTAAACCCTGTTGTCTCGCACATTCCAACATGATCACACCAGAGCACCATGCTGCCCATATTATTTGAAACTCAACGACTTCTTACCCGTTTTACCGTTGGTGGTACCGAAGCACAGGCAGTGAATATTCTGATGTTCAAAGAAATTTGCAGATATAACGAAAAAAACTTTGTCCGGCGTGATCCTCGAGTCAGACACGTAAATTACAGAGCAAAAATTCAACCCACAGCGCTGCTACTGTCACATAGGTATATACAAGCAGTATTATAAACACATAAGTTAGAACTAGTACCTGAACTCTCGTCTCTTTCACTGAAACCGGCTATGGGTTTATTCCGACCTCCCTCATCGGTAAAAGTTTCCGCCGCCTCTTCTCTAGGCGAGGAACTTCCTCGGTAAACATTGTCATTTTTGACATTATTTTCTTTGGCACCTTCGTCAAGATCATTAGCATGCAACACAGAATACAGACTTAAGAGACATATGCAAATGTGCCATAGAACCATGTCGCAAAATTCATGAATTTATACAGTACTCCGTTAAATATACAGTATACAGATCGGAAACTCAGGATATATTGGCAGTATGGCGTGTGTTTAAACGTCAGCATTTGTCCTCCTCAGTACTTGTTAACTACAGGGTCTGATTATTTATTTATACGTAATTTATATCTTAACAGTGTTCGTAAATGGCCATAATTTGGATGTTTAGAGTTCTTTGACTGAGTGTCATCACAGAGTTTTATGCCTAAAGAGAAAAAGAGCGCGCTGAATAAATTTAAACAAACTAAATCTAAATAGCATAGAACCATAGCATATCCACGAAAGATGCCATGGTCAAACTATTCGAAATACGTCCTTAAAAGGTATTATTTTATAGCGAAAGACTCCTCCAAAACAAGATTTTGCGACGACTGCTATGCTCTTAATTGCTTTGGGCGGTTGTTCAAGTAGGACAAGGCTGTATGTTATTTGCTAAAACGCAGGGCCAGAACCATCTCTTACCATTTGTTGGCTAAAGCCCCTTTGCACTCATCACAAACAACGTTGCACGAACTGTTTTTCCATATATGCTGCCGCATACACATCATAAACAGTCTGTATGCTCGAGTACTTCAAATATCTGACCCCCCCCCAAAAATTTTACGGAATATCGAGTTCCTTTGTTACGCCTGACTGACTCGGCAGATTTTAGCATACCACATGTCCACTGTAATTGAGGTAGCATATAAGGACTGTTGATTTTCTAGCGGATAAAAAGTACCAGCATATTTGAGTTTTCTTATCTTCAATTTGAGTCACGGCTTTTCTGAATATGTTAGTTTTTTAAACAAGTATTTTGTTTTCGTAAGTATTTTGTTGCCATCATCCTGATCATGAAATCGAACAGTCAATAATTCGTAAAAGATGGTAATACCAGAAAAATTCCCGATCCCAGACTGAATACGTATTATGCTACAGTCATTTCCACGCACAGGCCATTCACTAAATTGTATATCTTTCATTCATTAATCATTTGCTGAGACTTTATTCAAAGTCCACCACGACAACATATTCCAGCGAGGTGCTGAATCTGGCAGAGCTGTATTGTTTGTGTGTCTAAAAGCTAAATGTCTTTGATCACATACGATGCGACAACTCCTGCGACAAATGTATGTTAGAATGTTTTAAAAGACAAATGCGAGAGCACAGCGAATCAGTCTGATTTTCTGAATTTGTGACGCTTATTGCCTGAATCGTCGCGTGTGATTCCCTCTAAGGAATTGCACTGGAATGCTGCGTTGCGTAAATGTATGATAAATGCGAAAACGTCAGCCAAGCGCTGTTCGGTGCCACTGTTATTCTCTATATTTTAAGCCCTATCTGAGTGACATCTGAAGGTAAACACGCCAACCAAAAAGCGATGCAGTAATATTTGATTTTTTTTATTTAGCAACTGTACTACCGGAACACCAGCAATTGTTGTTGTTGTTGCCATCGTTAGCAAGGGTATTAGGGTCAAGTACGGAGCACCAGGATTAAAACGCATGTCTCACGTATTGGCCTCTCAGAACAATTTAAACGGTGTTGTTTCTGCTACAAAGCATCATATTCCTTGTCGCCAGCAAGTCCGTCTAAAGCCCCTGTTTTAACGTAGTGTGTTGGCCTCTGATGTGCCTGCAGGCATTTTTACTTCCCGTAGGAGAATGGTTTTGATAAGTCTCCGTTCTTTCCGTTGGTAGTTCTGTCAAACCGCCACAGACGCCTGGCTCTGATTTCTTCAAACGGCATTTTCCGGCAGGCATTTCCAAGACGTTTCGTTCTTAATTCGACGGAATAATCGCACTTTCCTACAGAACCGCAGACGGTGTGGTTGAAAAGTGTCCAATATCTTCTCATTGCGCTTTAGAAGGGTTGAGTTTTAATGCTGTGCATCAGGATCGAGAAAACGGCGGCTTCCAATATGGTGACGTTTGTTTCTGTAGAGACAGATTGGTCTTGTTACAATTGAAAAGATTGCTCGAAGTTCGCAGATGCAAGCTCTAAGTGTTGTTTTACTTTCAAACTGAATCTTAAATCCGTTGCCAGTAGAAAGCGGTTGTGTTAGATGTTTTCGGCTTCTTCAATAGTTGCTTAACTCCATTGAGTCCTTATTTGGTCAGTCGAGTCGGGTGCACGGAGAATCTTCGTTTCCATCGCATTCAGTCCAAGGATTACCGTCGAGAACACATAGTGCACAGTTCTCGAGTTAGTGCTAGGAAGCCCAGCGTACTCTGTCGTCAGCTATTCAGTATTTCTTATGACAATGACCACTGGGTACATCCGGCTGGCAGTAAATTCCTCGATGTTAATTGGACAACGCTTCTCCACATCACATTGTTCAGCAATATGTTGAATAATAGAGGTGATGGCATTTCTCATTCACGATCTTTAACCAGTCTGAGAAGCAACACTCTGTTCTGATTGCTCGTTTACTACAGTCATACGGTTCGGTTCTTTTAGAAGACTAGTGAACTTGTGTCGTACTCCCTAGTGCCGCAGCAGGCGCCACAATAACTGACGGTGTGCTGTGTCGTAAACTGTTCAGAAGTCGAAGGAAGTTGGAAGCTCTTCCTCACTTCAACAGTTCTCTTTGGCATTGCGATGTGGTTCGCAAACGATAGTCCAGTCCAAAAATCTGTTTTATTTCATCGAAGCGAATGGTCAACTGCATTGATCAGTCCTTGGAGTTCGATTCGGGCGAATCCCTATTCCAGAAGATGCAAAAGTGCGATTTCGAGGTCGTTTGCGCGATGAATACAATCCCACGTTTGAATATGGGAATAATCATGACTTGCTTCCAGTTTTCAGGGATGTGTACCTTCAATGAGTGTCTATATCTGCATGAGACGGCGTTAATTTAATCAAAGCACCATTACTGGCATGCGAAGAAAAACTTTTCGATTGAAGTACCCTTCCCGCCACAATCTTCTGGGCTAAATGTTGACCTTGTACTAAATTCTAGGAGAACAATATAGAGATGGTAGCAAAAATGTGAAACATATCCCTCTGCACTGACCTTTAGAGCGTTCAAGCGATTCTATGACAGCCAAGATGCTCCATTTCTGAGCCAAATGAGGTGATGATTAATACATGATTTGGTTATTTCGGA